CAACAACCCAGGCGTGTCAACCTATCATGTCTTTTTTGAGCTCTTTTTGACCCACAGCCATTGTTGTAGGGAACATCAGCCGTCCACCACCGGCTCATGTCCAACACATAACACATACGACCAAAGCTAGCCAGTTCCAGCAATGTCTCAAGGGAAGGCAAAAACCACCCCCACTGGAGACAGCACCCTCCCAACTCCGCACTATCTGCCTTTTTCCGGCACACCACCCACATCAACCCAGACGGAGACCAGGCGGCAGAGTAGTTTGTGAGGTGCATGGTTCTCTTCTTCAACCTGCATGGCCGACGAATCGGACGAAGGATGAGGTGCTTTGACCTCTCAAACCTCGGTCTGGTGAACGACCAAGTCCGAGAAAGAACCCGATCTCTTCGCGCGGCGAACCAAAAATCATAGATCTTGTAGGAGCTGTGACGATCTTGCTGCTGGGGGTAGTAAAGTTTGCACAAACCATGTTGTCAGCTTGGGATCAGTTCGCACATCATGTCAGTTGCTGCGACTGCTTGAGTTGAACGGTGCCAAACCGGGCGCCAAGCTCTGGATCAATTGTGCAGGGAGATCCAGGGCAAACAAGCATTGGTTGGCCAGGTCCTATAGTACTTCTATATCCCATGCGACTTGCGACTTTGCAGGGTATCCGCAGAACAACAGTTTGGTTCTTCAAATCGAAACAGGGGCCAGGTATAGCGGTGTAGTATAGTTACACTCTAACACTAAAATTGACACTTATCTCAAACACACACCGTAGCCATCGAAAGCTTCTGTTGATTTTACAATATAGTCGTCACAATATAGTCACTTGCCATACGGCTTAAATGACGCTGTGACATCACTGGGAGCCCCCGGCGAGCTTTGGCTCAAGGCGTAGCGCTCGGTACAAAGCCGAACCAAACCTTCCTGGCGCGGAGGACTCGGTTCGGTTCGGTTCGGTTCGAACGGCGGTACGGCGGTCTCGGGTCGGTCTCGGGTGGTCAAGTCTTCCTGGCTGAAGGGATGTGAGCCAGTGAGTCTCCCACGTTTCGACTTGACTTGGAAACGGGTCCATTTGGGGTCTCCCACCTACTTGACATCTATAGATACATCTAGTATCAGATTTGAGGGGATGTTCTTCTCAGAAAGTCAGCAGCAGTTCCTTCCGACCTGCAATCCTCCCCTACTTCCGGAGAAGAACCTCCGAAACACATCCATCCGACTTTCGTCGGACATCCGACTTCCGCCTGAAAGATGTAGGCCTTCAAAGGATCAAACCTCCGGCAGTTCGCAGAGTCGTCGAATTGAGATTCTGCGAGTCTTGTCAGATGCTGGGTGGGTTTCGATGCGTTTTGGAAGAAAGACACGTGTCACGTCAAAGTGTTCGCTTCAGTTTGGGCAACAAACCCAGTGTTCCAAAGACTTAAACCATAGACCTAACGAAACCCTGATTCCTTACGAAGTGGCTGTCTGGATGCAACTGGAACCCACTGAGAAAGGCTTTGGTGCTCCAGTCTGACCCCTAGGCCCCAGAGAATGGGAACTTACGAGACATCTTGAGACCAACCTTCATCCCGGAACCATTGCTTTGTATCATTTAAGTATCGTTGTGTTTCACCGGTGGACTTGAGGCCAAGGGGGGGGGGCGAAAGCTAGCGCTCCAGAATGGGAAAGTGGAGGGCAGCGAGGTAGGAAAAAACACGGCGCTCTTTTTGGAGGCAGGGGTGAAGAGTCCTTTATATGTGGCTCTTTGCCCGGATCCTCCTGCGAGAGAAGAGAGAGAAGAGAGACGGAAAGACGAGAGACAGAGAGGAGAGAGAGAGAGGAGAGAGAGATGAGAGAGATGAGAGAGATGAGAGAGATGAGAGAGATGAGAGAGATGAGAGAGAGAGAGAGACAGTGAGACAGTGAGACAGTGAGACAGTGAGACAGTGAGAGTGAGCGAGTGCGGCCGCAAGATACGCAACGCTAACCGCATGCCAAAGAGCGACGACAGGACGGAGTCGAACATGCGAAGAGGGAGGAGGGAGGGAGGGAAGGTGGGAGGAAGACAAGGAGGAGGAGAGGGGAGGTGGGGTGGGGAGAGGGGAGAGGGGAGAGGGGAGGAGGGGAGGGGGGGGGGTCTTCGACCTGAAAAATCAGGGGTTAGGATTTGCACCCGGTCGAAAGAAACCTTGCTATCGCAAGAGTAACTCCAGCTAGCTTCGCTAGCTTTCGTGAAAAACACAATGGGAACCCAGTTATCTCAGTTTCAATAAGATTGAAATACTACTCCAGTCTCGTTATCCTTCTCTTATGGTATACAGTCATATAGTCACTATATAGGGCCGGGTTTGGGATATTTGGGGGACTCAAGCACTTTTTGATCCAGGACCATCGTACGTGCTTCGCTCCTCTCCCTGACCCATCTCGCCAATCTGGAGACCTGGAACGAGGATGCAGAGGCATGAAAAAAGGGGTCTCAGCCCGTCTCTCACCCAAGCAGTTCCACCATCACCGTCACCCCAAAATTCCCAGGTACATCCCGGAGGTACCACGGGTTTCATCCACACCGTCCCCCCTGGGTCTCTTCTCGCCGTTCTCATCCACAACCCCACCCCCGGCGCGTCCTCTCGCGTTCGCTGTCGAGCGGCGAGGTCACCACGACGTAGAGTCGCAGGTCGAACTTGTAGCCGTCCAACAACAAGGGCCGTTCCTCGGCTTCACCACGAGAGGGGAAGTGGTCTTAACCAACCCCCGCCCGAGAGGTGGAAGGGCGAGCGGAACCAACGCCGTTGGGGGGGTGCCGGTGCAGCGAGCCGCTGGGAAGCAAATGTGTTTTTTTTGCCCAAAAGGAGCCGAGCCTCCGAGATCGGTAGCTCTATAGAGTCATTTGTCACATGGAGGTCGGACGTGCGAGCAGCAAGAATGAGGTGAAAGGGTGAGAAGGTGGTGCTTCAGTTCACTCTTTTTTGGGGGGGAACATCATGGAGCATCCAAGAGGAGTCTGACAGCCACCGACCTGTCTTTCGTGCAACCAACGCCAGGTTTCGTCTCAACCAGCATCAAAGCTGTCATTTGTTGTTGTTGAAACAAAACAGTGATATAGTACCACCAAGTGAGGAACCTAACAAGGACTAAGGACCAAAGCTCTGCACCCTTTGGTAGAGCAGCATAACTGTTCGTGGCATCTCTGGTTTGTACGACTGCTTTGGGGGGGTGATGCAGGTCTTGTGCGCTTTCTATCATCAATTATATAGGATGCGCTGTTCAGGGCTTGAAAGCAGTGTGAAGAAAGGGCGAGAGAAGCACAGGTTGTACATGACAGTCGTATGCAAATAGTGCTGAGATTTAGCAGGAGAGAACATGACAACAGCAAAACTTCAGAAGCACTTCAGGGTACAAACACGCGAACGCTGGAACAAACTCCCTGACGCTTGTTTTCAAACTTGCCGACATTGGTAAACCCTCAGGTTTTCAGGTCACCAGCTGTACTGTTACATCGAACATTTTATGATATGGATATGATATGACCTGTAGAATAGACAACATGGTGAACCTACAGTAACTTAAGCAAAACCTCTACCAGCATGTACCAGGGTGCCCTGCAACGTAACGCTGGACCAGGCCCTGCTTTTGCTCCAGCCGGTTGAGCACCTGGCGAGTTTGAGGTACCCCAACGAAGCAACCCCCAAGGCATCTACTTACCATTTAAACCCCAGCCAAACTGGGAAGTGACAGCAACATGCTGACAGCCCCCTCGGTCTCATCATGGAAAAACACCCAGGCCGCTCACGTTCCTCACGCCTCACTCGACTCCCAACTCCCCTTGTTCCGCGTTGTTCTCAACGCGGCATGGAAAACCCGTGCTTGGAGACCATCAAACAGCCCTGCAAACCACCGGCACTACACAACCAAATGCCAAATCATGTGCAATGTGAAACATACAATGAATGCAATGACTGCTCCAAACGCGCCCTCCCCGTGAACCTCTGCACCCGTTGTTTTGATAGTTTTGGCATGAGGGCACCTACAAACAATATGATGAACATAGAGTGAGCTGTGTAAAACGTTCCTCTGGAAACGAACAGCAAGGGAGCGGGCGCAATATGATGCGGATAAGTCTAACCATAAGAATCCATGGGCAAATGGGAACTCAAAGCCAATCAAACGACAATTCACAGATCACTTGCCTTGACAATTCGGTGGTTTCCACTCCACGGACCCTTTTCCCCCCTCTCCGACACGTTTTTCTCAAACGACTCGTGCCTTGTTGCTCAGGTGGCTGGGCAGCAACTTGATTCCGCGACCTTGGCCACGGTGGCCAAGTTTCGGGATGGAAAGAATTGGAAGGATCACCGGTGCTGACGAAAACAATATCTAAACACACCCACAAACAAACCCTTCACTTGACAAACTCTCTCTCTCTGAGTTTCTGGGCCCGTACATTACACATGAAAAAAACGCGTGACGTCATGTGGAATCATGTCCCAATACACTCCATGTATGGCATATATGCCACCCCATTGACCCCCCTGGCACCACCACCCCTGGCCGTTTCTTGGCAGTCCGCAGTCCCAAACAGGGGACCGCGTCTGGGTGTGGCATCGTTTTCTCCAAGTGACCGCAGCTGGAGTTCATGGGTTTCCAAATCCACCAAGCCTTGGGCTCCATCTCCCGTGCCGCCTCGGACCGCGAATAACGTGGTGTACGGACCGCGGTTCGTGATGGTGACACGGAAGTGCGGGTGGTTGTAAGGGGGTTTTCAAGCAGCTTGGGCCCTAAGAGAGAGGAATTCACGAATTAAGCATCAGGAGGACAGCTAGCAATTGGGACGTTGGCTAAGCAAACAAAAAAACATAAAAAGAGGACTTGACTCTCAGCATCAGCTTGGTTCTCAGGACCCCGACAGGCCTTCCATTTTCTTCCCCAAAAACACCTAACGTTGTGTTTGATCATGTAGAGTTTGGCAGCACAGCGATGTTGCCAACAGCGATGAATTATACAACACACTCCACACCACATCATCTCCATCAGCGAAGCTGGTCCTTCGAACTTGCCTGGAGTAGGCTATATATCGCCCGTCGCTGGGGTGGTGTGTTCCCCACACTTCCACCCCTCTCTTCGCGTCCCACGCCACGCCCCCACTGACCGGAAGGACGGGAGAGGTCGAGTCCCTTGTTTTTCTGCAGGAGGACCACTCGCGGCGGCGCGTTAGAACGAATTCCGTGCAGCCTTGGCCGGCGCGCGGAGCTGCGCAAAGGCGTGCGACGAAAGCGAGCGAGGAGCGTTTCGTGTGGCGTGGCGTGGGCCGGTAGTGGAAACGCTGCGAGGAGCTGCTTTGACATGGATGGGGCGCGGGTGTTTCTATCTCATTTGAGCTTTGGAAGGACACATTCAAGAAACATAACCTCATATCCAATGCAAAACACGTGATTGATAGACACAAATGAATTTAGCCCCCAAACCAGCTTCGGGTTCTGCTGGGCCCCTCAAAAAACGTCAATGGGATCCGATCCTTGCCTGGTTTGCTGTGTTGCCGCTTCAATGTATGTTTGGAGGTCGTCTACGAACCAAACTTGTGAATGGGGCAAACAGGTTCTAGCACCTTTGCCTTGCAGCACCTTTGCAGTATACTATACTGGACTCTTTTGATCCCTTTGCTTTGCTGCCTGCTACTGAACGAAAGGAGGCTGCAAGCAAACACCGCTGTAACGAATAGCTGAATTGCCACAACCTTGGAGGCCTTTATCTCGGAGGTCCTGATTGCTGCAAAACATTACCAAAACGAGCTAGGGGTTTAAGTTTCCGGGGCAGTGATTGATTGTTATCCTGAAAATTTGATTCCTGGGAATTCCCGCAGAACAATGATGGTAGAGCAGAGACCAACCAGGGTTGTAGAATGATCGATCTTGCAAAATAAGTCCGCAAGCGTTCGCATGCTACACAGCCCTTCCCCTTATCAGGCGGGTGTGGTCGTGAATATCAAACAGGGTCGTAGAGCAATGTAACATCTTGATCAACAACACCTCGTGTGACAAGATTTTACAATCCAAATTGGAATGTTATTGTTCAAATCAAATTTCTACATGACTCGACCTGTTTTAACCCTCTTGACCACTTCAACCCCTATTTCCTCAATGATTTCTGATGATTTGAACCCTGATGATTTGAACTCACCGTATATACCTACCGTTCTTGACCAAGTTCGCCCCGCTGTTCGCCAAGCTTCGGCATCATTGGCTGCCTGGACCGGCACTGGTGACGGACCCGTGGTGATGGACGTCGTGGCAGGTGGGTAGTCGCAGGTGGACGTGCCCATCTACTCGGAAACCACTCTCAAACCATCCATTTAGCACTGGAATGGTTATATACCTACATTATCCTACATTATTTGACCCAGTTCCATGCATGGTCTGGGACTGTATTTCTATAAGTATAAGTGCTATATCTCCAGTTTGCAACATTTTCTGACAGGAACCAATCTTCTTGGATTCCCACGGAAAACCTGTACCCCACCGGACTGCAGGCAGGCGCATGCCCCAAAAAGGATCCTTTCGAAACCTCGTCTCACACAGAATTTGCTGGTTATGCACTTGCCCCCGCAAGGTCTGCCAAGCCAAGCCCTTGTTTTCAGTGCTGAAGCGTGGGAAGCAAGACCTGGAAACAGTGCTCTCCAGAACACATACCCGCATGTTTTTTGTGGAACTCCAGACTCTAGCCTTGATCTATGTTTCAGGTGAATTTGATGACCCAAACAAACAACTGCGCAAATCTCTCCGTCTTCCTGCGGATATTCCAAACACATTCAGATTTTTCTGGCCAATCATGTGTATGAGTTCATCTGCACATGGCACACACACAAGGAAGATTTCACCATCCACATGCGTTTTTCACCATGTGGGGGGTGTTTGTTCAAAGTATGGACCCACACATACATACGTACGTACGTACATACATACATAATCGCCTTTGAACGGCGGACATTTATTGGACAATGAATGTGCTAACTCACGGCAGTTATATATTAAAACAATTTTGGAAACATTGGGATGCATAACCATTTTCTATCTATACACCTGAGGGTCTCAGGATCCAATTGGTCAAACAGTCAAACCCTTCAGGACCATGTTCTAAGACCCGTTCCACCCGAAGGTGCGTATAAAGAATGTCAACATAAGGTATGAATATAGTTTCAGTTTTCATGTCCTTCTTCCCAGCTCCACCCACCAGGATATTCCTCAAACAAGGTCTCGCAACTTGCATCCTTAACCCATGTATACCTGACGTAGCAGTCCAGAGTGCCAGACTTGCCTATCATTATACCTTACACTCCCTGGAATATTGATGGCGCCACCTGTTTGGTAGTTGGAACGTGGTTATTCCAATTCGGGGCAAGCCATCCACTTCCATGACGATTTCAGGCAGTGAACTTCCCTCAATACAAACTCCAAACAGAAGTAAACTGAAAGTAATTACAAGACATGCTGTTGGTTAATGTCTTCTAGTTTCGTCATTGCTTTCTAGTCTTTTTGGTTGGTCCAACCTCGGTCTCCAGGGCTTAGGCCCCTCACCTGGGCGACCGGATGGCACGGCTCACCGGTGAGCCGTGGCGGCTCAGGTTCGCCGGGTGACCGGCGGCGCCTGGGTCGGTGCACGGGTGAGCTTTGCAGATCCATGGTGCCAGTGGAAGATGTTTATTGGGAAGTGTTGTAATTAAACTAAAACACAAGCAAATAGCGCACGATAAAGTTTTACAGTGTATTGTAAAAACACTATGCCGATCGTTATACCTTTTGGACCCAGATGGCTGTGGGTGAACAAGTACGTGAAAGGTGCATCATTTCTGCCCCCCAGTCACAACGCTCTTCTCCAGCCAAGTGGCAAGCACAAAAGGTAGTGAAGCCTAGGTCCATCAGCCACGTCAAGACCTTATACGACCCTTCCGCTCACCCCTCGATGTGAAAAGCTTGGTCCTCCGCGCATCCCAAAAGAAACTGTGCCTGCGTGGCTGTCCAACACATGCCGTAGTACTCACTCTCACATGAGGACAAAAGCCACCACTTTCTGGGTTGTGGTCTTGTGGGCTTCGGTTGTGATCATCCTCCCGGTTGGCGATGATTTGGAACTCTTCAATTCAATGGGCTCTTCCTTGAGCACTGGTAGTCATCTTGGAATGTCTTGCTGGCGTCTTGTGCGCCGCGCACACTTCTCTGAATTGACCACATTTGGCAACCATAGGCTCAGTGTCCTCTTCATGCGCCTCATCCTCTTGTGGGAGCTTCATATAGATTTCCCGAGCTGCCCTGCTCATGAAGTGCGCTCGATCCCCCTTTGCAAGATCTTTGAGGAGTCCAAGCGCAGGGTTTCCAGCGCACCACACCACTTGAAAAACATACGTTTTCCCTTGAGCCATTTGCTTGCGCAATGGAATTCCACAGGAATGGTGGGTGGGAAATCAGAGTTCGTCTGTGCTTGGCATCAAAACACAATGGAATTCTACTGGAATGAGTGAGTGGGAAAATCAGACTTCGCCTGCGTTTTGCATCAAAGCACAATGGAATTCTACTAGAATGGTTCTACCCTTCAGACTGGCAAAAAGAAGTGCACCTTTCTGCCCTCATGGTTACTGGCAGACGGAAGCCCTGCAATCACATCAGGGAAGCGCTTTCCACCCCTCCAACACCATGAGCCCACACGCAGCACGGTCTGCAGCGGCTTGCAACCATTGCAATGAGCAGGCTGCATATGAGGCAGCAAGTTGGAATGATGGGCCTGGAGCAATCTTTTAAACATTCCACAGTGCAGCAGTCCACGATCCACCGTCCAAGAAGTGATGAGACCACTAGGACCTTGGAAGCTCTTGATGTGGCAGTGTGCTGTGTACCATGGACTTTGTCCAATGCTCAGCTTTTTGACATTGTTTGCGCTGGACTGAACGCAGAGCAACTCTGTGACTAAATTGCTACAAGCCACTAGCTGACCTGGTCGCTCCGTGAGTGAAGCTCCCACGGAACGCGTGCAATGCCTGTATCCACTGGGCATCTTCAGGAATGGGTTTGTGCTTGAAAGCCCATGGAAGATCAACGGCGATTTCTTGCCAACCTTGGCCTGGCAAAGGATTGGAAAAGTGGCTAGCAATACATACAGCAAAAAGCCATTGCAAGTACTCTGACCTCTGGACTTTGGATTGGAAAACAGGTTGCAGCCAAGTTGCTGTGGACATTGGACTGTGGTCCAAGCAATTTGCCCTGTAGGCAAGTTGCAACTAGCTAAGGACCTTACAGTGGCAAGGAAGTCCCTCTGTAGGCGAAGCTATCGAAAGATAAATCTGCCAAATCCCACAGACTGTCTCCTGAGGCACATTGCTTTGTAGCCTGGGCCATGTACGCAAACACACACACACACACACCCTCGCCCATGTTCCACGCGTGCGTGATGAGGTGAGGAGGCACTTCCACGGGCACAGGTGCACGCGTTGCTGGAACCTATAAGCTCGATGGACCGCAAGGACAGGGGCATCATGAGCACGGGATTTGGGGAGGCGCAACATCCTGGCCACCAGGAGAGCAAAAGAGTAACAGGCTCACAGCTGTTCTGAAGAGCGTTGCAAACAGTGGACTGTGGACGTGGAAGATCTAGCAAACGAGTGGATCTAGCAGGAGCACCTGCAGCTCTCCTCAGCTGAAGGACATGGAGGTCTTTGCCTCCTTGTCATAGTGGATGACCTTGGAGCAACAAATTGTCTACCCTTGGATGTAAGAATTCAACTTTGGAATGCGTGTGGAGTGCTAGAGACATCTGATGTCACAGGCTTGACGGAATAAAGCAACACCCGTTGCCACACCTTCGATAAAAATTACTCATTGTAGCAGCAGGCTCAAACAAAACAAAACGAAGGCCACAACCTTTGAGGCCCGGTGTTGGACCGCAAACTCTGCCTGAGGCTGGAAAAGAAAAGGCGGCATTGCCTTGCAATGTCCCATGAAACAGCTCAACATCCTGCAAGGCCCCATGAAGATGAGGCCACAACCTCTAGCCTGCAACCTTTGACAGACATAGGCCACAGTCAGATTGCAGCTCATGTCAAGCAAACTTATATTGGACATTGGCTTGCAAGAAGTAAGGATGGTGGACTGTAGGCACGGCACGGCTGTCACCAAATGGAAGAGCTTGCCGCAAGAACTTTCAGGTCTGAGTGCAAACCTAAACAGGAAAGCACGTGAGCCTTGATTGCTACCACTTTGCCCTTGAGTCGACTGGCAGGACCTGAGCCACCATCTTGCAAGCACGCAAAAGGCAAGTAAGGGAACAGCGTGGATACATGACGACAAACTCCATGAACGATGGTTGTTGACAGTGGACTGCGGTCTAAGCCAGAGACACAATGACCAAACAGACTGTGAACTGTGGCTGATCACATGCAACTGCATCGTTGAAGATGAAGTCCAAGGCAAAGGCCTGAGTTACATGCAGAATTTGTTGACTGCCCTGACCCCCGCTTTCAAAGAGGCAAAACAAGTGAGCTCAGGTTGTGGCTGGCACGCGCCCACAGTGATGTCCACGCGGCCGGGAATATGGCTGCGGCGACAACAGTTGGATATAAAGAAAAAATGTGCGAACTGGCTACCTAGTATATAAATGACCTAGTATTATAGCAGTCATGGCAGTACTAGAGCAGACTACCAGACTGCAAGAACTGCCAAACTATATTATGGGATGTGTTATATACAGCTGTGTATATACCCTAGGGCTTCAGCTACCTCTTTGGTTTAGGTACTTCAGATGGGTTTGGGGGGTCTAACCACCTTGTGAGTATTTGGTTCGAGCCCTAGGGATATATATATATATATCTGTATGTATAGAGAGAGAAGACTTACATTCGAGTCTTAGCTCTTAGTTATAGTTATATAGGTGGCTCATATATACATATACACATAGGACTTCCACCGGGGAAGATCTATATACATGGAACCTGATGGCAGGGACCTTTGGAAGATGGATGATTCCTCCACAAACGGGTGTTGTTTTCAGGTTCCATGTGGGTCTCTTCCAGGGCGTACATTGGAGGGTTAATTCTTTCGAAAACTAGGGGTGATTCTGTTTGCATTAGAATCGTGAGTGGAGGAACGAGTCAAGAGAGCACCGTAACCACAAGAACGGGGAACAGTAGCCGCAAGCACAAACACAGCAACTGCCACCAGCCCTTTGCAGTGATGACATGTGATGTATAAGAAACAAAGGTTTCTTTGTTGGCCACAACATGTTTTGGCAGGCATCCGAGCTTTTGGTTGATTATTCATGATTCATGGAAAGACATATGACATGGCTTCAAATGACTTGGATCCAGCTGGCTGAGTAAGTGTATAGAAACTGCATCCGTTTGGTGTTGCTCTCTGGTTGAAAAATGACGCAACCCGCACCGTAGCCTCCTCGACAGTAGGAGGACGAGCCTTGAGCTCTGAGTATAAAGACCAATATGGGCGTGGACGACGCGGACGTCTGTCGAAGCAGTTCCGCAACAAGGTCTGTCGCGTTCGCTTTCACCCTTGGAAAACACCCTGCCAGGTTCGCTTCTTAACTCATGCATTTTGGTTCTTTGGAGAACCTCCACTGTGCTTGGGGCCTTCTTCCGGATCAGCACCCCAGATGTTTTGGGTGTCCTCCTTAGTTTCCCTCAAACAGGACAGATTGAGAACATTAAAGGTTATAGTGGCCCTGCAAATAGATAGAAAAGTCAAATCCCCACTAGAAATGTATTGGAAACCGTGCCACGGTCATCTATTTGGGGATCACTATATATAGAGGTTTTCCACTTTTCCTGGGTAGGTTTTGTCTGCAGCGAGAACTCAAGCTTCCGCCAACAAGGCACTCGTCATCGGGGCGACGTGGGCGCTTGGCAGGGGGCGCAGAGCAGACCTGGCCGAGACCGAGACGGAAAGGGCTGCTCAAAGATGCACCCGCTGAAGGAGCTCAACGTGCCAAGTCCATGCAAAACGATTTTTTCCCACTTGGCATTGAAGTATTGACAGCTTGGACTTCAATTGGAAGGTATTTCAATCATATTGAGAGCTCTTCAATGTCAACCCAGTTTGATTGAGAGGTATTTGTTCGCAGCCGTGCGGGTATCAGCTTGATGACTTTTGCATGGTTCTTTGCCAACTCGAGTGCGGAAACCAGCCAATTCTACCGTCCAAAAAGACCTTCCACTAAACAAAAGACACTTGCAATATGTCTCGGAAAAACTCCTCAACAACTTGGTGTTTGCAATTGGAAGCAAACGTGACATTTGGTGGATGGCACACTATGTCCTCTACTGCCCAACAAGCGAATCTTATGTACATGTAATTACAGTATATACAAACATGGACTATTTCTGTTTGTGCGGTCGCACTGGACCTAAAGTACCAAATCGGATGCTGGTGTGGGACACTCATCACAGGTTGATGTGAATCTTGTATAGTCGTAACCTTGTTGCATGTGAAGGCCTTAGCTACAAAATATCCTAGCCTCCACAACCATAAAGGAAACTGGTTCCAAATCGCAATCTACACACCAGTTTTTTGTAGATGTAGCATGTCACAACTTCTTTTGCCCTTTCTGTTGCCTATGGCAGATTTCTTGAGGGGGATCAAAACGCACAATGGGCTGGATAGGGTCTCTACAACTCGCCCTACTCCCAAAAATGAAGCCGTCACCACCACTCGAGAAAAACTACACTCCTCAATCAATACACAAACAATGAACCCCAGAAATAGAACACAAAACATGTTAACAATGATGAACAAGGCAAACATCAAATAAAAAACAAACACATACAAACACTCCTTCAAAGTTGAAATCTAAGATCTAAGCACCAGTGATTCTTGCTTTGCAGGTGTTGTGAATCGATCACTGCCATGGGCCGAATCCACCGAATCCACCGTCCGCCGGAACCGCCTCTTCACACCAGTGACGGCCCCGGAACACCCGTGGCCTCTCTAACCATCGATGCTGCAAGACCTGCAAGGGAAACCGTTGAGCATGCCACAGACAGGACAGACCGTAGGGTGGGGTATTTGTGTAGCAGACAGGACAGCTGCCGCTCTGGTCGTAAAGAGCAAAGAAACGTCCAGTTTTCTGCCGAGTAGCAGCAGTTTCCTAGCATCAGTTAGGTGAAAGTTATATGGGAACCGAAAGGGAACCGAAAAGAATCGGTTGAGCGTCCTGGATCGCGAAATGTCACTGGTCAGACCGTAAAGACCCCGCATGCATTGCATGTTTGTGATGTATATAATGGGCCAAGCAGGAGAAAAGGCTGTGGCCAGCAGGATACGTCGGTTCTCCTCCTGTAGTCTCATTTGGCCCCAATCTTGGTGCTGATTTCAGGATGCCAATAGGGAACATGGATGAAGAAAGATGATTTAAAGACGCACAGGTCGGGAATTCGGGAATCAGGTGTTGTGAGGGTGGATCATTGCATTGCATTAGATGAAACTAAGTGGGGGGGGAGGATGCACTCTTTGTATACATTGGGTCTATCCCATTACCAGTAAGAGTGGATGATGATGGTTAGTAAAGGCCTTTCTCTCAAATAGTGATCATTGTTTACCGATTGTTACGGTAATTACAGGTAATAGGACAAACCCAATGTATATGTAGAGCCTCGTAGAGCCTAAAGCACTTTGGGTTGGATTTTGTCGGTCTCTAATTCAATCCCTTTAACTCTTCCCATACAAGCAACATGTCAAGTCTGGGATATTCTGGGATCTTTCTGGAGAGGCGAGCACCCACAAAAGCAGTTTACGAACCTGAACGAAACACCTTCTCGTTTCTTGCGCCTCCGGCAAGGGACGGCGGTGCTTCGGGAAGCGTTGCAGAAGGCTGTGAAGCAAATGGCAGGCTTCCTGGCTAAACCATCTTGGGCACTGATACCTCAGGCACCGCAAGGCTAAAGGCGGTGAGGTCTCCGAACTGACAACCGGCGACCGGCGAGCATTGTGAGGACGCATCTGCGTGCTGAAAGACTGCACATGCAATGATCATAGGCTGGGCCGCTTTAACTTTAACATCTTTCCTCTGGATTTGAGACGAGAAAGGCCCAGTGCCGCAGCGCCCAAACACTGTATACGCACATCATACAATGGTCAAAGCATATCTTTGCCAAGCATGGATCAGGCGCGCTCCCGAGACACGTCATGTGCATATACTGTTTCTCTCGAACTGTGTGAAGCATTGACCTCGAAGGCATGCCCGCCCCAAGAAAAGCTTGCACAAAAGCGATTTCAGAGCGGAGAGGGGCACGTGTTTCCAAAGGAATGTCACAAACTGTTCACAGCATTACCACGCGGCATGTCATTTCACCATGCTGGCAGAAACGACCTGGGGCACTGGGTTGCACCAATTTGTAGGTCAGGCCCCCTCCATGCAATGTAGGTCAGTCCTGAAGCAATGATGTCTGGGAATGGTTGGAGATGGTCTACACCCATCCCCCAAAAGAACCATGACTTTCAGAAACATCCACTCCCCAAGAACTTCGTGGCCTTTTCTCAACTCAATTCAAATCTAAACAAAACAAACAAACAAACAAACCCACCATGATACCATCCAAACATTCCCACCTCCACCCCATGCGTCGAGGCACAAGACTTGGTGGACCTTCTGTCGAAAGTCTGGCGCTGCACTCGCGAAGGGCGTCTGGCCGGCCAACAGCTCCTTACCGAGCAGTGGTTGCGAGAGGTGGCTGAAGGGAGGGCAAGCGACATGGTTTGCAAATATGGCCAGGCCATATTAAGACATTCGGGTGAGATTGGGAACATGATGAGCATTAGGAATTGGACGCATAAGTTTCAAAGCTTGTTGGACCAACACACCAAATGGACAAGGAACATGTCCACCGCTTTTTAGGGAGAGCACTGGGCGAGAACCGAGAATCCAGCAAATCATGACAGATGTTGGTTCAGTTTTGGAGGGAAAACGTCTTCCGTAGCACTTCCAATGGAACGGGTTGCCAGTGCCCGACTTTAGAGCAAACAGTTCAGTCCAAAGCAAGTCAGCTTCATCTTAAGTTAGCTTCCTATATTATTGTTATATATACTATACCCGAGACCAACAACTTTACATGTTCTGCTCAATTGACTCCAAGCTTGCAGCTTGCGAGTTCGTAGGAAAAGGACTCCATACACCTACTTGAGCTTTGCTACAGTCGTGAACTGATCTCTTCATGTTGAGAAGTTGGACAAACTTTTAGAAGGAAAAGGCCAACAGATCTCTTTAGTCCTGGGGACCTTGGCTGTAGTCCTTCGGACCTTGTCTGTAGTCCTTGGGACCTTGGCGTCTAGATCTTTGTTGCTGGGTACCTCATAGTCAGGCCCCGTGCACCGACGGTGTGCCGACCCTTCCACAGAGCCCTTCCTTCGATGAGACGCAGCACCGAGGTCTGCCGAACCGCAAGCCGTTCTGCAAGACACCGCGAGCCGTTCCGGTGGGTCCTTTGGGTGGTCGCTCCCCAAAAACCATGCATAACCGTGGATCGATCCTGAGTGACTCCGGGTTTCAGACCAGATCCATCCCCAAGCAGTTCGAAGACAGATCCTGACTTCGAGGACCTGCGCCATGTACATCGACCTGCCAGTTCTCTACCCCAGAACTGCAATGCACGCCCAAGGCACATAAAGCAGCACACCCAAGCTCCAATGGTCCACCTCCTTACCGTGGCCTGCAGCATGGGGTGCGTGGTGCGCGCAACGTGGGTTTAGGTCATGTGCTGTCCAGGAACCTTGAGACATACAGACTTCACCAGGTTTGGGGATCTTTACATGATTGAACCCATGGGGACACCGGTAATCCTGCAGAAACCGGTCAAATCCGCCGCCAGAATTGCTGGTGACCAGCCGGTGAGCAGCTGGACTAGACTTGCGGAGGATGTCTAACCCAAATTCAAAATAGACCCTCCGAATCAACGGGCGGCATCAAAGCAACGCACTCGCGACCTCTTCCACCGCTGGGCGAGTATTTCTATGGATTGATCCTATGGACCCACATACTCGGACATATCCTCTGAGAAGGTGATTGGAGATGTCTACTTTATGTAGGTGCCAGGAGGGTCCAGTCGTACCTTCGTTTCGAAGCTATATGAAGCTATGTGGATCCCCTAGGGCTTCAAGGTCCTTCTGCTTTCTGCATCTGAAAAAGCATCGGCTGCAAAATCGAGGTGCGGCTGAATGGCTCTTCTTTTGCGGAACCGGTGGGGAAGCATGTGTGGATGGCTCCACACATGGATGGGATCTTGAACGATTCATTTCCAGTAGAATCGTTTGACTCAGCAAAGTCAAAGTAGAAGAGTTGGGGAGGTCATGGTGGGGCGGTGGGGCAAACCTGTCAAATGCTGAGGTCAAGGGCGGCACGAAACGCAGATGATGACAGTAGATGTTCGATGGATGTGTTCTGTGATGCAAAATCCTGACAAAATCACACAAGTCATGCCATGCCGTTTGGACATGGAAACGCACACACATGGAATATACACTCCCTGAAATCATCATGGAAGTGGAACACCGCCTCTTTGGAATCCGGATGACTCATGGTCATTCGAACCGATTTCGGGGCCATGCCATCCACTTATGCAGGGATCATTGGATCAGTGTAATGATATACACCGTGGAGGCCTGAACTGGGCTGAACATGTTCAACTGGCACTTCTGAAGAAAAAAACGGTATAATCGACGTGTATCGACGTGTGCATCGACCAAAGCGTCGTGACAACAAGACCGCGGAACAGTTACAATGACCAAGTCCAACCTGCTCATACATGTCCTGGCGTGGCATGGACCCCATTTCGGAAGACTACAAGCTTAATTGTACATATCAAAGGTGTGTGTTCCAGTCAAAACCGTGATTCGATGGTCACGCGATGGTCCGGCGGGCCCAGCAGTTCACCAGTCACCAGTTCACCGCTACACGGTCTCCACTCCCCTGGTTCGGGCGACCTTCGCCGAACAACACCTCCGGCGCCATGTAGCCTCAAGCCGCGCCGCGTGCGTGCGAGAGCCCAGAGCTTTGGGGAGCGGAGGCCGACTTTGGATGGAGGTGATCTTGAGGTTCCAGTGTTATGCACGGAAGAGACCCACATGGAACATGAACATGGACCTTTGGAAGACGATTTTCCTCTAGAACCCAGTGGTGTGCAGCTTCCATGTCGTGTCTCTTCTAGGGCGTAGGAGAGCAAGTCTAATGAGGCTGCAAGAGCAACAGAAAAGCACGTTCCTGAAGAGTCGCACACTGCAAAAGGATCCATGGGTAATACTTCTAATAGCTTCTTGTTACTACTAGTAAGGCACTTGTTCCTAGAAGCGTGGCACTTGTTACTAATAGCTTCTTGTTACTACTAGATGGAGGTGCTTTGCTCCGTGGATCTTCCTTTTGAACTTTCCCATGGCGCTGCTCGTGATCAGCGAACCGAACAAGTGTTCTGGATTCGACACGAGAGAAACTGCATTTGTTGGGCGTATTTATTCTTCCCTTACAAGGAACCCAAAACCACTGATTCATCACTGGTCATCCAACCTGTCTCCTTCTCTCACATAGTCCGCTCCTTGCTCCGCCTCTCCTATCTGTTGCAGCCACTGTTCAGCAAGACTCATGCCGTTGTCCTGGAAGTTCCAAGTTGGGATGTTACACCCTAACTCCAAACCAATGTGCTACTTGGAGCCCACCCCACGCCTAGAAATAATCATAAGTGGAGAAACGTACAATGGCACCAATGGTGTTCCTTGCCACTTGCCAAACAAAATACAGTCTACAGTTCCAAGCAGCTTACACTGCCAGCCTGCCACGGTCACAAGGAGTACGACGTACTACCACCCCGTCTGAGGACAGTTCAAGCGCCAAGGCACTAAACGTGCCGCACAGGGTTCTCCGCTTGGTGCCATCCAGGTCGGTACACCATCCGAAGTCACAGATCTTGGGACAAAGGCCTCGGCCAAGGCCACGGGTCCGGTACACCACGTCACCACGCAAGTTCAGAAGCGCCTACTATCGCTTACGTACTCGACACACATGGCGTGGGTGGTACGCCATGTTTGAACACGACGACGGGGACCCCTTTTGGGAGTTCCCCTGCACGCTGGCATAGGCTGGCATCAGCTGCCAGCTCTTTCAGCACATGAGTTAGGGTCCGCCAATCGCATATCTTCTCCTGTTGTTTCCGCCAAACGTAGGCTTTCGGCAGATGAGATAATGCAACGGATTTCTGGCGTGTGACCTTCGAAGACTCCCAACTCAGTTGGGACTAGTATAACTTCGTTGCCTTTTTTTTCTACTCGAAGGCATCTGCCCAGCCACCATGGGATATAATGGGTTCATGTTTTCGTGAAGGAGCACTGTGCGTCGACCTTGTGCATCGACCTTGTGTGAGCTCAACAGTTGCTTTCTTGGATTTGCTTTAGGAACCTGAACAAAAAGACAGAAGGGGATGTAACCAGCATAGGGAAGCTCAACATCACCTGAGTCGCAGGTCACCAGGCTAGAATACATCGACGTCCTCGGACGTCCGAATTGATGGACTCCCTGGTGCCATGCGCCACCAGGACCCAGCTAAGCCCGGGACCGGCCAAGAGGATGTTCTCGGGTTTCAGATCCTGGGATGGCAGCACGATCTGTCGAAGCATACCACGATCGCATCAGGTACAGATCGTCTGCACAGCCTGCATTCACCAATAGTTCTTTGGCATGCAAGCCGTCTTTTATTCAGGAGAAAACATCTAGAGTGAATGAACATGAATGAACGATGGTGCAATAAAAAACACAACTGCCCACAACCTACATTCACCCTCATTCACGACTGGAATCATCCAAACATGTACCTGGACCCTCCCAAGTACCCTAGAAAATAGGACATGACCCTACTAGAACAGATACCTGTATGGGTGGAAAGTCTTAGGTGCACTATTATACCACCATCCATCACCTAGAGTGGACCTTGGATCAGTCAACTCACTTCGGGGTTCGGGACCCTGCGGACCGCTTGCGGAGCGCTCCGCTCAGGGTCCCTGTCGACACGACCCATGGGTCTGGAAGATTGACCCTATACCCCACACACACACACACACGACCCATTGACGCCATGGGTCGATACGCCCATGATTTGCCTACGAAGTGGTTCGTTGGAGGGGTTCCAGATGTCTACCCATGGCCATGATTTGTGTCCGCAACCCAGGCGCCCGGTGTGCACAGCACGCCACGCTATGCAAATGTTCAACGCCCAGGACGATGTCCCGGAAGAGCTTGGCGGCTAAGGGCTCCTCAGCGCCCAAACGCCATCGGGGGTCTAGATGAGCGATGGGGGAACCGGTGGTTCTGCGGTGGTTCCCTTTGATCAACAAAGCTCCCGCTCTTGAATTGGCTTGATAAATCAAATACATTCAAATACATTTCAACTGCATTGCACACCACATCCCTGCTTTTCCTCGAAGATGTATGAAGGAAACAAGTTCAAGATATCTCAGCCAGTATATGCAAACAATTCTTTGTGCCTGCCAAGTGGTGGAATCTGAACTTTCCCCCAATCTTGCATCCACATCAGCGCCCTTGGAGAATCCCCTTCATTCCAAGATACCAAGGGGAGATCAAACCCCGCACTTCTCCCATCTCCTCCCTTTGTCCCGAAAGGACACGATCACATCTCCGGACGGCCTTTTCGCGAGTGGCACGAGTGGCCGACACTCGCGAGTGGCACTGGTTGACCAGAGCGTCCCCGTTGCGGGACGAACTGGTGGGGGTTCAGAATAGGTGGGTGTAAACCCCGTTTTGACGTGCGAGACAGAGGTTTAGAATGGTTTTAGGGCTGACCATAGTGAAGTCTGACAACATGTAAGGAACGCAGACAAGGTTTCAAAGGCCACAATTCCATGTAAGCCGCCCATATCTCCAAGCCACTGGCAAGCGCCGGTGCGGGTGCTGCGAGAGCAACTTCACCAAGCATCCATCGGCCAGCTCTAGCAACCTGGGGCAGTGTCTTTAGCTCTATGGTCTTGCTGTTGGCTACTCTGGAAAACAACACATAAAACACACTACAATGCACTTCTTACTGCCCAAAAAGGTGGTGGAATTCAAGCTGCGCTTGATATTTGATCTCGGTGGTCCTCATCAGATGGATACCCTTCGGGCGTGCAATGGCTGCTATAATGAGTTTTAGTTACTTTAGTTTTGGAACCTCCTGGAACGTGTTAGGTAAGTTTGGAACATGATTGAATTCTTTGGATTGGCTTTGGGAACATGGACATGCTTCTGAAGGTCCGGGAAGGTTTTGGAATGATAGGTCCAACCCATCCTTTCGACAGATTTCACACCGGTCGAACAAAAAATACGACCACATCTTCACACCAACAAACACCTCACTCACTTCCGATGCCATGCTCATGTGCGACCGAGGTACATGTAGAGATGCGTCTCATCCGACACCTCCGTCGCATGGCGCTTCGCCGAACGGTTCCGCGGCGAGACTCGCCGTGTCCGACCGGCGGCGAGACTCGCCCAGTCGACGTTCGTGCCGAGGCGCGCAGCGGAAGAGCCGCAAGACATTGGGGTGGAAGATCCTTGGGAAGAGCAAGGGTGAAGCCAACAGACTGGGTGAACCAGAATCAACACCAGGTATCACATGGAGTCAGCCTTAGGAATTAAATTGAGGGGGGGGTACTGAGTCTCAAATTTATTGCCGTCAATTAATTGCCGACATTGCCGACATAGGATGTTGGAGGGGGACCCCAAAATTTGTCAGCATGAGGAAATGCATGGTCTGACAGCAAAGAGGTAAACACTGCACCCCCAAAATTTCAATTAGTTGTGAGTGGGGGGGAGGGGAAATTATTCTATAATTGGAAGAAGGTGGAGAGGTAAGGTACCTATGAATTAATTTTAAGGATGGTAAAACAAATGACGAGAAGAGTTGATGGTGGAGAAGATGAAAGAAATAGAGGGAAACAACCTGGTATCACCCATGTCCTCTCTAAATAACAGTTTTACGTACCACACACACACACCTTGCGCACAATATCCGTGACGCACCTCACCGCCCTTCCCCTATGGAGGGTACACGAGGAGAGAATGCACAAAGAACATGAATGTAACAAAAACATGCACAGAACCACCCATATTGTTTGTGTGAATTATGCGAACAAATATGCACGAAATTGCAAACTTCCTAATTCATGGAGCGAGCACTATCGAAGTTAAACTTTGATTATTACGCAAACACTTTCGAACTCTCTGATTGTGGCGGGCCAAAAAACATTTATCGGGTGGCAATTCTTCCAAGATACAAGACGCGTCAAGTTTTGGCTGAAAAGGGATGCGAACATTCAGGGGACACTGCTGTCCCGGAAGCGACGAATTGTCCAATAGAAGTTTCATAGCGAGGTCAGTTTGTGGAAGACGAGGCCGTGACGTAATACCCCCTACCAAACTCCTGTGATAACCCATGCGAATCATGGTTGAGGCTCCGGATTTTTTGCATCTCGGATACAAACGTTGCCCTGTAGAGCTCTGTAGGTATTCGACAAGCGCGCGAAAATTATTAGTTTGGTGCCACAGACCGCGGACTTCTGGTTTGAGGATTGCGACCTCCGGCGAGTCAAAAGCGTATGGCCATGCGAAACTCTGATCTTTTCCTTTAATCCATATCGGGAGGCAACGGCCTGCATAAAGTGTGAAATGTATCACCAAAATCAGATTTCTGCAAGGGGAGGTCAGGACGGCGCTACAATAACTGTTGAAACAAAATCCAAACACAGGAGGCGATTTGTGCGCCTGCTGGCCAGGCTTGTGCGATCACTGGTAACAAGGACTCTTCAAAACACCAGTGTGGACCGTCTGGCACCCAATTGATCAACGTCTGTTACTGTTGGATATGGGCAATAGCATCACTATATATCACTATTATTGTGTTCTTTTTCTTCTGCGTCATGTTTTTCTTTGTCAATTCTCAAAGTCATGTGCAAGGAATTTAGGTTACAGAGGTGAGCATAGACACGTGACAATGACAAATCCTCCATTTGTTGGGTACTATGAAGTCGAATTGCTGCACATGCTTCCTGCATAGCGGAAATATCTTGTTTATTGTGAGTTTAGCCGTTTTGTCTAATTCATCGACTACCCCTGCAGGACAGTCGCATGATACATTGCCTGCATAACTATAGTTCAATCACTCCGTCCTGACTGCGATCTTCAATCTGAGCACCTACACGCTAAGAGCGCCGAGATCCCTTGCCAGCTCAGTAGTGCAGCTGGACGGAAAATGGAACTTCACATATCTGCGAAAATTACTTTAATTCTTACCTCGTCTCCCTCGTCGGTTAGATTTTCCCCGGGCTTTAGCACCTCGCCTCATTATGTCGAGTTTAAGAGCACCTCGTTTCCCAAGTCTGCTGCCAAGCGAGCTCTTTTTTTCACTGTTTGCGCCCCTTCGGCGGGGACATCTTTTGGAGATTTTTGGAGGATGTCGCTGAACTGGACAGGCTCGGGCTCAGACTCTTTCAAGGCCACTTCACCGTCTGTCAGCCCACGACGAGCAGATCCAGCTCTCGGAGGCTGCTTTTTCTCTTAGAGCCTTTCAGACCGAGTCGCACGCTTGACAACACCTCCCCTGCGAACGAAATTAGTCGCGGACATCCGGTGTTCCTGCGGGGAAGTGTTCGTGCTTTGATGATAATGCGAATGTTTTTGGCTAACGTGCGAAAATGTTTGGTCGCAGGACCCAAGCAGCCCAGTTTTTGTGGAGGAATTGAGACATCTTGCAAGGAGAGTGTTCTGAGCGGCCAACAAAGGGGATGGGCCGCTGGAGATGAGCAAGGACTCTTCGACGAGGCTGTCAGAAGCAGCTGATCCAAGCTGCTTCCTGAGGTGATGGATTTTTGAAAAGAACTTGTACTTCTCTAAAAGTTATTCCAGCTATTCCCAGAGAGCCGAATATGGAGGGATCGAAAAAGACTTTCCTCGTCCCCTAAAGTTTTTTGGGGGGAGTCTGCAGGACCTTTGGAAGAAAAACTTTTCGTGCCTTCCAATTTTTTTGTTGGGAGGCGGTTGTCGGGATGAGTCGGCGCCGTTCGAAGACGATCATTCGGGGCACTTCAATTCTTCGACTCTGGCGAAGGTTCTTTCGCAAGCAGCACTCTGAGAGGTAGCCATGCAACACTGTCAGCGCAGACTCATTGATGTTCTCCTGCCCAATTTCTTTCTGGACCGACAGCAATCAAGTGACGCAGCCCAGTCAACATCGCATCTCGAGGCTGCTGCCAATAGTCAGCAAAGACTTGGACTTCTCAGCGAGGTCTTCTTGGGTTCCTTCCCAATCCAAGGAGAACATGCTATATGCTTGGATAATGCTTGACCGAGCAAATCTCGAAGTCACTTTCTCAATGCATTGGTCTGCAAAAGTACTGGCTATTTGGTATTAAGGATGACGTAGCAATACCTAGACATTAAAAAACATGTCTATTAATATCCAAATTTAGGGAAGCGGTCCTTCAGGATACGGAAAGTCTCACGGATGTCGGAAGGAGAGCCAAGGCCAGGGATTGGCACAACATGGCGTTTCTTAGTGCCATCGTCCAAGGAGTATTTCGCTTCAAGATTCACAAAGCCTTGCTGGTAGTACTCTGCGCAAAATTTTCCCAAAAAGAGTGTTGCCAGCTGCAATGGCCTGATTCCCACAAAGAGCCTCTGCTGCAGTGGACGACTTTTGGCAGAATGCCCGGAGCCTTTGCTTCAGCAACTCCAAAGCCTCTGCGATCTGATGTGAGATCAGTCTCCAAGCGATTCTTGCAAGCGTTTGCAATTGTCAAGACATCCAGAACGCCGGCCATCACGACCTTGGCCTTCCAAGTGCACAAGCCCAGGAAGCACCACTGTATGGTCTTCTGACTTTCATGATCTGCCAGGCAAGAAAAATGAAAGTGCAAGTGTGCCAAGGTGGACTTCCACGAGCCAAAAAGTAGTGGAGCCAATAGACTCAACCATCGGCTTTTACCGACGCTCAGACTGCTTAGCAGTGGCTCGTCGGTGATTTCACACCCAAATTGCAAATCTATTCGCATGGCGGGATGCCGATAAAAGTGTTTGAATATGGAGCTCACCATCTTCTCGAGCTCTTTCAAATTTTTGCCTCTAAAGGCATCATGGCTGCTAGCTGAAGTCTGTGCGCTGCACAGTGGAAAAGAACGCGGTGGCCAACATGCTGGCGTAGAAGAGCTGCCACATTGGAACCCAAGACATTGGTTTCCAATCTCCTGACTCCATTGACAGAGGCGCCGTTGACACGCAACCCCCGCGTCTGACGACGCAGATGTGTACGGTTGGTTTCGATGTGTCGGTTGCATTTCTGTGGTTGCGTCGGGAACTGCTAGACTGAACAATACCTCTGTCACTACGACCCTTTCGATCTGAGGCTTTCGCTGCGTAACTTTGACGCTCAGTGTCCTTCCGTGACGCAGGCTGTGCAGATGCGCCGCTTAGTATTCCACCGGAAACGCTGCTGTTCCAGGATCTCTTTTGCCAGCATCGGCCTAAAGTCGAAGAGTGTCAGATTGGTTCGACCGCATGCGGCGCAGGCCCGTCCCGACCAATGTTGAGGCTCCGACAGGCAGCAGGTATAACAGAGACCGCTCTCTGCCCGAATGGTTGAAGCCTGGAACTCTGTCAGCGGAAACGAGCGAACGCATGTCGTACACTGGTAGACTTTGACCGTGCACACGTCACAGAACCATCGTCGCTGTTTCATGTTCGGTCCCAGTACTACGGTTGGTTTGCGGGCCCCGCAGCCCGTTGAACACAGCGGAAACGCACAGTCCGTGCAGGTAATGAACGGGGCCACGATCCCGTCCTTTTTTCTCTTTGTGAATGCGACGTAGATGTGTATGCAACATCTCTCGCACCACCAGCGGTGGGAAGTCACGCAGCGTCAGGTGGGTCCATTTGCAGGTACGGCACTGAAGATCGTTGTGGTTTGCGAATTTCTGCGGTTTCTCGTTTTGGAGAAAGCAGGCCCAACAGAGCAAACTCAACAGGCCACAACTTTCGTTCAGCTTGAGCTGGTCCACAGGGAAGCATCCTTCTGGCCACATCTGCCAACATTGAGTGCAGGTCCACTGCGCGGATGGAGGTGGTGGAGTTGTTGCTGGAAGCATTGGCTCGTCAGCTGCAGGTTCTTCTATTCTCGTACGGTGTCGACAAACAATTTGTCCAACAAAATCGTGCGTGTCCCATCTTGCTTGCGTCGCTGTGGAGAAGCGGCCCCGACGACAAAGGTCTCGACATTCTTTGCACATGAGGAGCGGGGTGCGCACGCTCTTTCTCCACTGGTGGCAACAGCGATAGCACTGTAGATGTTGGCCTTGGGACAGCTGTTCCCAAGCAGCTCTTTGAGTCAAATTCGCAAGAAAGCAGCGCAGTGGCCAACGAATCTCTTTTCTGGCACGATCAGAACATGGTCGACAGGGCACTTCCAAAGTCCATGCGGGAGCCTTCTTGTCCTTGCTGGACGCTTTGGTTGCGGCGTCGTTGGCCATGACCTGTTTCCAAGCTGCTTCGACATCTGGCCAGTGCATCTGGCCTGACACGGCGGCGGTGCTCAGCTTTTGACTTTGTTATTGCCTGTGTAAGTTAGTCAGCGGTTCACATGTGTATTGCTTACACTAATTTTTTCGTTCTGTATATATGAGACACCCGGCCTTGTTGTCGCGCTAAGAGTAAAGTTGGTCCGGGTGCTTTAGGGTTGGACTAGAAGAATATCGTCTGCAGCTTTCACCCGTGAGCGGATGATGTAGGCTCGAAGCCGGCTATCCGGGGTCGGTGTTGCCGACCAGTGCAACAGGTCCCCTTTGCACGGAGCCAGCGTGGTCCCGCAGTACGCGTGAGCCGTCCCAAAAAAATCGGGAGCGACTTGGAAGCCACGTCTTTGGACACGCAACGACCGGAGTGTCCATGACCGCGTGGTTGGTCGAATTAGTACAATACCATCCGTGAGGTGTCGCGGCGGCGATGTCAACCTCGCCGCAAGGAAAGAAGGGCAGTCTTGCAACGCGACTTCTGGTTCGTCACTGGCTTCGATCCTGAGGACATCAGCTGGTGAGAGCCCCCATCCAACCAAAGTGGCCGTGGCATGTTTGAAGACCCGTGCATCTCGATCGTACGTCTCGGTGAATCTTGTCGGCATTCCAGCGATTAAAGGAAACAAGCCCAAGATTCCGGCTGTTTGGCGGTCATGTAGTTGAAGCCAGCGCGTCTGCTGTTTCACCAGATCTGCTTGATGTGAAACAGGACCAGAGTCATGTGGAACATCTTCTGCCACCACCCACAACACTTTCTGTGCGGTGGCCTTCGCAAAGGTAATGGCATGCAAGAGTTGCCCGTGATATAGCCTTCTGGCGACCAAGCTGGCGCGGCTCTCCAGAGACTCCTTCTTGATGGACTCTGTCCACGGGATGCCGATGTACATGGAGTCCCCGGCAACTAGCGGCACTGGCGCAATGGCCTGCAGGTTCCTGGCAGTGCAAACCTCAAGCAGTTGGTAGCTGAAGACCATAAGAATGTCTCCCGTGACAGGTAGCGCGTTGACCAAGCCAATTCCTACTTTTGCGCGGGCACTGCACTTCGGTCACAGCAGCGATCACCTGCACTCAATGCCGCTTGTATGGCTATTTAGCCCTCAACAACATCGACCTCATGATCCCATTGAGTACCACGCAGGACCAAAAATGAGTCTGGTATGTACCTCGGGAGTCACGTGGACTTTCTCATACGAATGATCCAACTTCAGCTTGTCAGCTTCAAGAAGCCTGTGCAACACGTCTTCATCGGTCTGCGCGTAGGCTGCAACAACATTACATCTTCTTGCATTAATTTAGCACCAATAGAGAAAAATCCGTTCTACGAGATGGGATGATTTTGCCAACAATTCATTCCAAAAACGTCATAGTCACCCACAGTCCACAGTCAGGTCCATCGGGCCGCCGGGACAAATGTCCAACTGGTCCAAGGAGAAAAAAGGTTCTCTGATCTTCAACCTAGAAAATAAGATCCCACAATCCGCCCCATGGAAGAATCGGAACCATTTGGACGAGGAAGGGGGTCTCTCTCTCTCTCTCTCCCAGTTGGCCGTCATGGCAGTCGGGAGAATTCTAGGATGTCCCATATGACCCATAGAACCCCTGCTCCCCCCCCAAACTGCCCCAACGCTCTCCATGCGACGAGCTTTGTATCTTCACCTCCCGTTGGACCTGCGACATCCTCGGATCTGAGCGTGCAGTCCAGGGGTGCGAGTGTGAACACATCCAGGATTCACCGGGGGGGCCGTGCGGGTGGTCGGGGTGTCATGTCACATGTCCATGCCGTAGTCATGTCACACATGGTCCTTTTCCTCACAGTTTAAACCAACAAAAATACTGACATGCTTAACTGGCCCTCATGCAGGTTGAGTATATATATATAGCTTCTCCTGACCCCAACAAAGATGTGTTCTTCTTGTCGCTGAGTGGCATGTTGCGGATCTCTAAGGGGCGCTTCTCCATGACCTTCAGCGCCACCTGGGAACCAGGAAGAACTCCGAACCATGTTGTCTTCGACGAACAACGAGGGCCGATGTGTATAGTCTAGGCCGAAAAGCAGTGCATGTTGAACATGTTACCAGCTGAACATTCAGGTTTCCGAGAAGGACCCAGAACGAAGGACCATCTTTCATCCAACCGACCACATTCGGTCCATTGAAGCTATTCTATACTTCACTCCGTCGCAAGCAGGCCGGGCTCTTTGTCGCACCATTTTCAGAGACGTTACGATTTGATTGTTGTCTTTCTCATACACGAACTACCAAGCCACGAGCGAAACAAAGTCTGCACCACAAACATTTACTAAAGAGTCCTTGAAGGATATCCCTCAGCTCCCTCACACACCTACCAACCAGAAACTCCATATATGACTCAAAAACAGGTGCACCACCTGAATGGATGGTGAAAGCACCTGATTTACAAGCTCCCAAACCACCTGCTGCTTGGGGCCTGGCTCTTCGGCCGGCCTCATGGCTCACCTTTGCCTCACCGGACCGCGGCGTCGTTGTCCCGCCACCGGCGCACCTCCGTTCGCCCCGTCTGCCGGTTCCGCAGCCGCAGAACCTGCGCGACCGAGCCACGGCCTGGGCCAGGAGACGGCCGGCGCGCAGCGACCCCCGCGCGACGTCCGGGGAGGCGGGGTGGAGGTTGGGGGGGACCCCCTCTCTTTGGGGTTGGAGTCATATGAAACTCTGATCGCTTCAGGGTTGGAGTCATGAAGAATATTCGAAGAATCAAGTGTTTCGTCGTAGAGTCTTTTTCGCGGCTTCAGTCGTGCATCTTCGATCCATGTGTTCATCGAACTTCTGTAGAAGTCGGAGGTCGGCCCAACTTTTGGGGGTTTCAGCCACCATTTGATACCCTAGACTTCCAATTTTAAACAATAGGAACGACCTGGTTTCTGTAGTGTAAAATCCTTAGTTGATTCGGGATTCAGCCTATTAAATTAATGGTGGGCCAGGAAGCCTAGGGTATAGAATTGTATGGTGGATCCGAAAGTGGTTGAACACGAAACATGATCCACTGCAGGATACGTCCCTCAGCTGATTCGCTGGAAATCACAAGATATGGGAGGTCCGGGTCTGTTTGGTATATTAAATAAATTCAAAACCGTTTGTGGCAAGTGCCAAAAATGCCTACCTTTTGCCTACCTTTTCTTTCGCCCTGCATTCTGCTGAGTGCTCTGCATTTGGCAGTATTTGTGCTAGGCTAGTGGGTGCACAAAGTCAGACTTCGAGTCGGCAACGTTGCAAAGTTCCCCCCGTGCTGGAGCATTTTAAAAAGGAACGAGTGTCTTACTGGGGGATGTTTTGTTCCTATAGGCGGATTCAAGGTTCTTTTCATGTTCAATGTTTGGCCACGGGAAGCTTGAGATGTTCCATGATTCTCCCAAACTCCGGCAAAGAATTGTGGATTATTTTCAGCACAAAAAGTAAACCCTACAGCAAGTAAGGAAGGTGCGGCGCAGTTGGATAGGCGCAAAACCACAAAATGCAGTGGAAGGCATGTTATATTGTTCATTGGAACTCTAAGAGTCATGATTGGCTACGAAGCCTAGGGCAGGGAAACTCGATACCTTCCATCGATGTTCAATAGTGTCCACTGCCTCATCTGGCGGTCCGAACTATCGATAGAAACTTGCAGACCTATTCTTCAGACCCACCGGGTGATGTTTGTACTTGAACGAGCAAACCGAGCAAACCTTTGTGTCATCGACTGATATGGGCGTGGGGTGTGGGGCGGTGTGTCAAAAAATTGCACACATCCCACCAGGAGGAAGGGAAATAGACCAGTCTACCTCTTGGGCCAAGGGGTGTCTACTATTTCCCGGATCCAGTTGTACCGTACCTCAGGTACGGTGATGTGTTCGACACTGTTATGTAGGTGCCAGGAGGGTCCAGTTGTTTGCAATGTTTGTGTCCGATGCCCCGCTACGAAACGCCCCAAGTCCATCAACAGGAAACGCCTTTCCTGGAAGTGTTTTTTCAGCAGCGTGCGACACCGCAGCTGGGTCTTTTTATGTCTTAATATATATATATATATCTTTTATGGAGTCCAGTGATGTGTGTTTTGCAGGATATTCCACTGGTATAAGCGATGCAAACATTAAAAACACATACACACACATTTGCCACCACAGGGTGGCGGTTCCGCGGGTCTTGGGCTTCCCACTCTTCATCTACCTTTTTCGGCACCTCTTCACTTTCCGTCCCAAACCTGCAGCCCGCCGCGGTGGACACCGCGGTGGACACCGAGTGGCCCAGAGTCCCATCGACGACGAAGTCCTTCACAATGGACGCTGGAAGCTGCGCGGGGACCGTGGTCAAGGAATCCACCTGGGCACCGGGCGACCACGGACGTGGGGACCCGAACGAGGAGTTTTTGCGTGTTCATGCGCAAGCCATGCCACAGCTTGCGGAGTTGGCCAGGAGGCAACGACCAATGGACCGTGAAGTCCCAAGTGTCATTTGTTCTCCATCGAGAATGATTCGCTAGTACGTCAACCCTTTCGGGGAGAATGATTCGCTACAAAAGATCGCACAAAGCAACAAATAATGTAAGAAGGTTGGAGGGTCCATACGGGTCGACATCCGACAACTGAGAATCCACTATATAGGGCTAGATAGTCGATTTCTGTTTTCCATATTGCTGAACATGCAGAAGAACCACACCACATGCAGAAGATACCTCTCGCAGCTGATGTTTCTGTCACAGCCTCCAAACAGCCAATCATCCCGCTTATGTCTTTCTTCTACTATGTTACAAGCTCATACAGGTATGTATGTGCAGCAAAACAAGGAGACTTCCCAATGCCCCCTGGAAGAAGTGAAATAAACCAAAACCCATTGGTTGGTGGTGGTCCTTCTATGTCCTTCTATAAACAAATACACACCCATATATTATACAGTATGTATACACCTTCGACAACTCCATTGTTCCTGCCCAAAAACCAGCGGTGCGGGCGGTGGGGGCGGCGCTGCTGGAGCTGTTGGTGGGGCTGGCGGTGCCATTCGCGCCACTGCAAGCGCCCCAGGCGGCGGTGGTGCATCTTCCCAGGGCTCTTCCGAAGGCTCGCTGAAGCACTTCCCCTCCTGCGTGAGCCGGAGTTTGGCAGCCTATGGGGACCTTCTTCTCAGCCTTTTCGATCGAGGCATTTCGGCATGGACTGGCGATGCGCCGCCATGCGCCTGGGACGGACCGCTCCCTTTTCCATCCCCGTCGTCCCATCGTCGTCCCGTCCAGCAGTGTGGCCACGGAAGGCGACCGGAGCTCCGGGGTGGGTGGCCTGAGAGCGCAGGCTGCAGGCGAGGGGCACCCGCGGGGAAGCGGAAGCCGCGTCCCTGGGGAGGTCCATGCTTGGTGAGGTTCTTTTTCTTGGAGTCAGTGGGTGGGGGGAGAGTTGAGTGGCTGGAATCAAAGCAGAAGTTTCAAGTTCATATGTTATGTAAGTTCCACAAATTTAACCTCGAGTTCCCAGGGGTGGTGTGGTTGTCCGTTGAGAGTTGGGCAAAAGTGGAAGGTGATTCTTAAGATTCTCTAAGTTGCTGTTAATATCTGTTTATGTTGTTCATTGGTGTGAGGAATCTCAACACGGTATCATAACTTCAATCTTGAATGAACTGATGTGGAACCGTTCGCCTGCCCGTTGCACGCCACAAACGGCGCGACCGTTTGCACGGCCGAGTCAAACCCGCACTTGGTCACCCGTTTCACGCACGAACGCACTTGGATCTCAAGAACCCACTGCTAACAATGACGCCCCCAAAAAACAATCAAAAACAAACATCAAAATCATACCCGTTTCACCGGGAAAAGAGTCCAAACCAACCGTCCAAAGAAGTCGATCGCACCCACATCATTCCACCCGATCCGCCCGCGGCGTGGAACGCGCGGATCGCGGCGCGCATCGCGTGGCTTCTTCGGCGCCCCGTGGTGCGCCTGGTGGGTTCAACGTCTGAGAGCTCGACGAGCACGTCGTCCACGTGAGGTGCGGGAATTGCCACCAAGGCCTCGAAGGCATCCGAAGCCTGGCCAGAAAACGACCAAATACAGCTGGATGAAGAGGATGGGGAGAGTATTGGGGAAATGTGTCATTTGTTTGGTTCATAGTGTATTTCTGGGCTGGGATTGTAAAGAGTGTGGGATTACGTAGTTTGAAGGGTGTGATAAACGACAACATAGTAGTAGGTTTTGGCTTCAATACCCTAAGTTCGGGTCTTCCTGTTAACAAGACTGTTGTATCTGCGGGTGAGTCCAATTGCGCAAGCAAGATTGCATGTTCAACAGCAAGGATCCGGCCCCGGATGGCTTGGGCTCTCAGTGAAGTGAGAAAAAGCACACCTATCACAGACTACATTATGCATCAAAGTATATTGAAATAGCGATTGAAAACTAGGGCTTGGCAATGCTTTGAAGTTATGGTTTGACACATATGACTTTCATGTTTGAGATTAGGGTTTGAAGGTCAAGTAAAGTTTTTGGTGATGTTTTGGGCCGTCAAGTTTCTATTTTGACCTGGGTTTGAGAAATAGGGTTTTCGCTTTGTGGTGAAATAGGGTTGCGCCGAATCGCTGAGGATCTGTCACAAACATGTTTGAGCGTGTCGGATGGCCTGACTGCCATGTGAATGATGTATGTGTTGGAGGCTGTGTGCCGATCTCCATGTATAGCCTGACAAGACCATAAGAGACCCAAGACTCTCAAGACTATCTATGAGTTCAATCCTTAAGATATATATCGTGCTGTCCTTCTCATTGCTTTTGGCTTCCGAAGTCCAAGACGAACACCGCTTTCGGCTCTCAGCCGAAAGCGGCGGAACCCGCGGGACCGCGCGGGCGCGGCGCGGCAGGCGGGCGCGCCTCCAAATACTCGGCGATGCGAAGCTTCACGGCCCTCAGCACGCTCAGCCGTGAAGGGCTGAAGCCTGGCGAACCGAAGGCGGTCGGAGGGGAGGCAGCGTGAGCTGGGCCGACCTGTGCGGTCGGTCTTACCGTGTTAAGGGAGACGGGAGATGAAGTAAGACGAAGAAAGAAGTGTTTCAGGGTGTGGAAGGGGAAGGGTATTGGAGGGTTGGAAGGTGTGTTGTACAAAGGAACCATGGAAAATGTGGATTCAGAAGAACGTTAAGCAAACAGGTGTACAAATCATAGAGACATCATTGGGGCACGTTGAAACTTACAGAATGCTTCTGGCACTCATGGTTCATTGTGTAATCGATATATGCTGCATGTAGTCGATATGGGGTCGGGCATTCAACCTTTGGCCCACCTTCTCAAGCAAAGCAAAAACAACCGGTTTCTTCATGAACTTGCGTTCTTTGGCTCCGGTGACAGTGTCTCACAATGTCTCACATACTCTCAACTAAAGTGGAACTTGCCAACCATGAAATTGCCCATGACCATTGAGTGAAAATGTGTTGTATTCACCTATTGCTGCATCTCATCCGTTCTTCAACGGAAATGGCTTCGCCGGATCCAGAACCCCCCCTGCCTTTCACCTCCCCCTGCCACCCGTCTGAACGTGACCCGTCTAAAAGCCCAGCTCGAGAGGACTTAGGGCAAAGCGACGATCGGAGGACGGCCAACGGCCGATCTGTTCGTGCTCTATACCCAGACGCGACCCATGGGACTGCCATAGGAGGGGTCAATGGAGTGTATGGGCATAGGGTCAGCCAATACTCGCCAATTTCTTCAACCAGCGCATGGGGTATACCATGGGTATACCATCATGGATCCATATACCCTCCTAGAGAAGGTGATGTGTTCGACACGGTGGTCGTCGGTGGTCGTCCCAATCGTCCTTTCAAAGGTTCCTGTGGATCCCCCCAAATTAGCACAACCATACCCCGGGCCTGGATTTAATTTTGGAAGTTGAGGGATGCGTTTAAGGATGTGTTAAGGCCTTTAACATCCTTTTTAAGCCTACGTAAAGGCTTCTCAGGATTTGTTAAGGAGTTAAGGCCCGGATCTAGCTTTTTTGGGGGCTGTTTCAAAAACATATCCTTAACCGTCTTTAACCACAATGGCCTCCCGTCCGTGCGGCCCGCTCCTTCGCCCCGTCCGCTCGCCCCACTCCTTCGTCTTTGCTCTCGGACGGGGTGTTCTTCGCTGGTGGCCGGTGCTCAAAGTGCTCCTGGCAGCGGAGGTGAGGTGAGGTGGTGGTTTCCAAGGTGTCCAAATGTAGTGAGACACCATGAACCCACATAAGACATCTATAAGACCAGTCATGCACAACCGAGCAATAAGACCAGCCCTTGCGGAGAAGGGTCTTTCAAAAGAACTCATGTTTTTCGGCCGTGGGCAAAGTCGCTCAAAGATCTGTGTCGACCTGAACTCATTTGGTTATAGGTCATGGCACCGGAAGGCCTTGGTTGACCACCGAAAACCAGCGGAACCACTGGCAAGGTGTGGAGCTTCCAGGGTTTAGACCTAGGGCTCTGGGTGCCATGACCCACAGCCTGACAGCAACTGCAGCTTGCTTGAAGTGAACTCAAATCAACACTCCAAAACCTGGTGAACATGACCTTGTTCTCCACCCAAATTCTACTGTAGAGGGGTTTAAGGTGCTTGTAGCTCCCCATCTTGCCCTACCTATAGAGCGGATAGAGCGGCTCAGAGCTCTGGACCCGACCCGTTGGCGGCTTCGGGTTTGGGACCCTCACTTCGCTCGGATTGCGGACCGAAGCAACAACCGCCGTTGGTTCGCCTTAAGGCGTCGATGTGCGCTCGCTCGCTCGGCCAGGTAAAACCAGAAACATACGTTGCTTCGGAGTGATCCCCACCATGACTGTAAAAGAAAACCATCTTTTACTTAAAGACTTTGAAGGAACCAACCAATCCGCAGCCTGGCCTCCAACCTACGACCCGCAGCCTGGCGCACCCAAGGGCGTCTCCTGGGCCATTCTCGACTCCCTGGGCCCAGAGTCGAACTCGTTTGGCCAAGGCACTTGGAGCTTCCGGAGCGTGTCGAGCACTCGCTGGACGGTTTGCCCCGTGGCCGCCTCAGAAGAGAAGACCGGAAAGGAGTCGAAAGGAGTGAAGTGAGACGAGGACGTTGAAGTAGAGAGATTCAGCATGGCGGAAATTTACCACGTTCCACCCGGTTTTACGGGCTCCCTCCTGCGCTAGCGCCCCGTTGGTTTAGGTGGCTTCAGGAGGGTTTGGGGGGGTCGAATCACCTGAAGATTTGGTTGCAAAGAAGATGAGCTGCATCTCTGAAGTTAGACATGGCATTCGAACAATGGAAGTTGAACCCCCCCAGTTTCTGGACAAAAGTGGCCCTAGCGGGTCGCGCTGCACTTCCATGTGGCTGAAGTCGGATAGGCCTTACAAATAGACGGAATGATGAGGGACGATCGACGAACAGTGCTATTGCCATTGCCTTCTGGCATGAAGACCGGTGGGGGGAAGAAGCACATCCGCAGCGAATATCCGATATCCGAGCAACGCGCCGTCAGACTTGCCATGAGTTCTGAGTGTGGGTTCCACAGTGTCACTCTTTTGGGGTCTGAGCCAACCTGCAATGATCATGCGAACATGTGCAAAAAATGGTCACGACACTTGGCCAACTTGGAGGCCATTATAGAAGCATGAAGTGGCTACAGTCACCCATTGCAACTCCGCAAGCTGGTCAGACTTTCATGCTGATCATTCTCCCGCAAGCCCTGCCTTGTGCTGCCTTTTGGAGGGGAATTCTCGGCGCAAAGCACTTTCTTCAATCTCATTGGGGTGTTCAACTCTTGCAAACATCTCTTTAAAAAATGGCAGTGGATCTCAGAGCAAGATGGCACAACCCCCAATAGGTCGTTTATATATATATGATACGGGCGTTCCATCGTACTTGCGAAGACCAGGTGCCCGGACCAGGGACGCTTTGACCTCTGCCATCTCTGAGCAAGGCAGCTCGCGCGCCATCTCTGAGCAAGGCAGCTCGCGTAAAGAGCCCGCCTGGCGAAACGGTGGATCACACGGACGTTTTTAGAGGGCAATGGGTGCCACATGTGTGGCGCTGGAGGGCATCTACTGGAATAGGATATTAGGAAAGTTGTGTGGATGGTTTGCGGTGAATCTGGATGAATCTGGTATGGGTTGATGGGAGGTGAGCGGGAAAGCTGGTTCGGGGTGTATGAATTCATTGTACGGAGGGATTTTAGAGATCAATTTTGATCTGGGGCAATTTTCGGGTATATGGACTGAAGGGAGAGTTGCTATTACTTATGCATGGTTCAGGCTTGTGTTTAGGCGAGTTGCACGAACATATCAAAATCGATACCCTTCCACTCAAGTTCACATGAAAAGGTACTTGACCTGTGAAACCAGTCAATCCTTTGAACGTCCTGCCATCCAGACCATCTGTAAAGGATTACATTAGCGAAACTGCTACAAAACAAACACACATGCAAACTTGGTCTGGACGACGAATATCTTTACAAACAGTGAAGGAATGATGAAAGGCCCTCTTCAGAATGCGTTCAATCATCCGATGTTACAGCTACTTCAACCCCCCCCGTTGTCAGCTCCCTGCTCGACTCAACGGAAAAAAAAAAACACACTTCCCATCGCTCGACCGTCCTCACCTCGGCTCGCTCTCGAGCCATACCCCAACCGCACCGCGCCCGGTCGCTGCACCGAGCTCCAGGGCTTAAGGTCCACGGCGCGGTCAGACGGTCGACGGGTCTGGGGTCAAAGGAAGTCTCATGCGGAGAGGCCTTGGAGAGCTCCTGCGACCGAGATCATGGTGGCCCTCCACCAGGAAGAGTGGGGAAAGAGCGAGGGAAAGATGCATCCCGAAGGAAAACTCCTTGACATTGCTCGACCACATCAAAAAGCATTGTACTGATGTCCGTGGCCTCCCAAACCCCAAACCGTGAAGGACTGTGGCCTCCGTTTTCGGACGCACCAAGTGTGCACAACGATTTCAATCGGTTGGAAGCAGCTTCCCGGAGAAGTCCAGCTGGCATCCTCCTTGCAAGTTGGCTATTTCATCACAAGCTGTACGGTATTGATGGAACAATATTACCTCCAAAAAAAAGTCATGCCATGTGTGGTATATGTACATCGGGATGCTTTCAGGGATCAATGTATGTAGGTGCTTTTGGTGTATATGTGAAGCGTCTGGCCTATTGCCCTCACAACGCGTCACGTGCCTTGGATTCGGCTCACGAGGCTTACAACGTCGCCCCAAACCCGCTGGGGGGATCCTTTCCAAGAGCACTAAGACCGGAAGACCCTCTTGCCAACAAGGAGGTGGGCTGGTGAAACCCACCACTCGCTGGACGCAGATTGTGACCACCCAATCTCCCTCCAATCTGGGTCCAAGAAGGTCCATGTCTCCGAGTCCGAGTCCAACCACGGACGGGCAGCCGGGCCATCCAAAACTTGAACTGCCCTGGGAAGAGGAAGGTTTGCGGCATCAAATCAAACCTGCACAAGAGTCGACACGTGAGACGTGCCACATCCACCGTTTGACCAGGTGTGGCCGATTTGGTTCAGCATACGAAGACAACAAATGGAAGTCTCCCAAAAACCACGCATGGAAGTGCGATGGAAGTCTCGGAGTGCACAAGAACTTTGTGCCACAAACCAATGGAAGGCGCGAGGTCTGTTAGCACAACAAATGTTGGGAAGTCTCGACCTGTTCCATCATAGCGATGGGCAAACTGCCCTGCCAAAAACTGAGCAAACAGCCCCTGGTGGATGAGAAAACAGCAGTTCGTGTGTTGGTGAAACAGAATTCGTTGCCAGCCGCATGAACAACGGCTGAAAAATCGCCAGTCTGCCGACCAGAAAGATTGACTTGTCCATATATTGTCCAAAGAAGCAAAGTTTGATCTTCTTCGCGTCAGGTTGAGCTTGTACTTGTGGTTGTAGCCCTCAAAGACATGATTCGTTCCAAACAGTTCTGGAGTTCTTCAGAACCTGATCCAGAAGCACCCCACTCCCCAAAAGCGGGGCACCTGCCATCTGGGAAGCGCTGCTGCATGGCGCGGAGGTTCCGCCAGAGTCTGACAAAGTTGGCTCAGAGCTGGAGAGTTGCTGAAGTGGGATTTTTGGGATTGAGGAGTCTCACGAGGATACCTAGATCTTCCAACTATGCACAATTTATGCCAACTATGGCTGGTGTTATGCACAAAAAATGCATGAATTTTGCTTCGTTGGAAGATCTAGGTATGAGCAAAGCGCACCCCCCCTTCCAAACCTCCCGCATCTAGATCCAGGTTTTCGCCATCCAACACCTTAAGGTCATAGCAACCATCCAATTTGGATGTACTTAACTCCTAAAAGGACCACTCTAAAGACATCCAGTTCGAAACCAGTCTGCCCATCAGATCTAAAAAGGCTCTGGACTTGATTGGTGAACAGAAGCTCCTTGCTTCAGACGGGTCCCTATTATGGTCCCTATTCTTTTGAAAGAGACCTATAGACACCCCAGCACTCCACCAACCGCACCGCGGAACTGCTCCTTCCAGAAACCATGTTGATTTGACCGAGACGGCGTGACCCGTCTCAGCTCCCGGAAACATCCAGTTCCACATCCGAACATCCATCCGAACCATGTCCCGGGAACGTCGAGCGGGAACGTCGAGCGCGTGAACGTCGCAGTGCGTCGCGACTTGGCATCGGGACAAGTCTTTGCGGCCCAACTGCCAGGAGGCCGGGAAGTGATTCCTGGCGAGGTGGGCGTGGCTTTCGCTGCTCTTGGAGAGGTGTATCCGAGCCGGCCAGGCCGTTGAGAAACAGAAACCACCGAACGCAGGCAAAACCGGAGGTATGTTTGCTTGTGTGGGATTCTTCAAATTTGTTGATGTTGATTTAAATTCTGTCATATCTGATCTCTGTTTTGGCCGGGTAAACACCAGGGACCCATCACCTCCATTCAGCAGAAAAAACGGGAGAAATTGGACAATTGGAACAACGAGCCCTGAAAGAAGAAAATACCTTGAGAATCTCAACCAAAAAAACAGATCAACAACCCTCACCTGGCAGGTGGGGAAAACACAACAAAAACCGTGCTCCCTTTTTGAAACCTGGACTTCACTACCAGCACCGACCGATTCCTTCGACTACCCGTATCGGGTACGGACTGAGTCTTCCGGGCGTCTTCTGGCAGGCGCGGAACTCGCGAAGAGATTCTGGCCTAGACGGGCGTTGAAATAGGAAGACCTCCCAGTTGGACCCTGAGGAATTTCGAGGTTCTTTCTTTCACATAAGCCAAAAGCATCTCGCTTGCGACTAGCAGAGAATGAATTACAAATTGGCACATGAGGAAAAGAGGAAAAACACACACACAACTCGGGGGGTTGGAAGGTTTGAAGATATGGTTTCTGATACACACTTGGAGACGTGCCAGCCACCAAGATGTTACTGCTTCGTAGGGACCAACATCATAAAACCACCTGGAGATACTTAATTAGAGCGCATTTTATAACCTACCTACTTGGCCTACTTGGGCGGCTTGAAGGGGATGTCGTTTGGTAGAAAGTGACGCATTCCATACGGTGGTGGGTTGGGCCCCTTTTCGACTCGTTTGTGACATCCCACCACGCCGCAGAGCAGTGCCACGCGGGTTTTTCTCTGAAACGGTGAACGTATGAAAATGTCCTTCAAACAGAAGCCACCATTCTATATCAGCCAGCAGACTGGTATAAAGTTGTAATATATCATACATCATCATTATACATCATATAGATGGCTGTATCAGTCGCGTTGAGTTGTATACAAACACAGTGCTGGAGAACCTATAACATCTCCACTTCCATGCGCCCAAATTGCCAAAATAATCAAAATACATCCCACACACACCTTGCGATCCAATCTGAACGCGCCTCAACAGCCCTTCCCCTTGGGGGGGTACTGGAGGTAGTACTAGACAGAAACAACTGTAACAAAGCATGCACAAACAAGACCGCAGGTTAAACCGGAATATCCCCAGGTCAAACCGCAGACATGAATTAAAGGATAGCATCTAATTCATTGATCAAGACAAATAGTATCCAAGGCTTTATGGTCTCGAATGCATCTTTTAACTCGTTGGTAAAGATTGTGGCGCTTACCAAATGAGATCTCCTCAGGAAGAGGGATGGCAAGAAGCGGGTTCGAAAAATCTGGTTGGATCGGTAAGCGAACGTTCAAAGGATGTTGTCCTGGTAGGGCAGCATAATTTTTAATGTTTTGCATGACTTGCTCTTTCTGCGCAAAATTTGGTCGTGATGCTATACCACCAATCAAGCGCCGATGAAAGCCCAAACGAACCATTGTAGAAGTGCCCGTTTTGGTATACCGTGGATATAGATGCTCTTTGGATGTACTTTCAAGATATTGAACCACATTACGAAAATTAGTGGCTTGGTGCCATAAGCTACGGACTTCTGGTTTCTGTAAAGCCACTTCAGGAGAATGAAAATCAAACGGGCTGCGGGTTGATTTTCCTGAATCTCAATCCATATCGGCATACACCGACCAGCAAAAGCGATAAAATGCAGAACCAGCTCATACCAGGTAACACCATAATCAGTTTTCTCAATATGGAGGTCAGGATGTCTCCAAGTCAACATAGGCCCTAACGGATTTTGCAGTTCCTCATCCGAACTGGGGTGTTGTTCATTGTCATCCGCGAGATCTGCATCAGTGTCATCCACGGGGACTTGTAAAGAGCTCTTGCTCCTCTCCAGCATTAGCTGCGTGATTGCTTCCAAAGTAGAGAAGATAGTGTTCCGGATCTCCACAAACAAGTTTTGGGCCACCTCACGGTCCATGACCAGCCAGAAGAAGCGTCGGACAAAATAGACTCGTACTTGGTAAAGGGTGTGGACTTTTCTTCTCCAGCCTCAGACTCCCAATTCTCTTGGTCAAAACCTTCCCATTTTGTGTTTCCAAGATTTTTCCCAAATGGTAAAGTGGGACGAACTCGTAGAGAAAAAGGAGTGAAGTCCGCCCCGAAAGTCGCCCCTACTTTTTCGTTGAAGACTTGAGAACTTTTCAGGAACTGCCGGATTGTGGCGAGCAAATTCTGGCTTCTTTCAAGTTTTGTCTGAGCACATTTCATAGCAACGAGTTTAACTTCTTCTTCGAAAAAACCTTGAAAGAGGATGGAGAGATGTTCTTGTAGAAAGCAATAATGGACTCCAAGGATGTGTTCTTGGCCGACACAAACGTGTCGATGCGCAAGATTTTAGCCATGGCAGAGTCTAGCATTTCTTTGGACAACTCTAAAATAGCGCGGTCATCTTGCTTCTTCAAGGCCAAAGACAATTCCGGAATTTCTGCTAAAAGAGACAAATACCATATGGGATGTTGGGTCATTTTGGCAACTCTGCTTTTGGCCCCTTCTAACCGTGCAGAGATTTCTGAAACCAATTCTTCGACAGATCCGTTCCAACGCATCACAAAGTGGCTTTCCAAGAACTCCAACTTCTCTGGCCTTGTTTCAACCAAAAGGTAATATATTCTGAGTTCAGGTATAGCAGAGAAGTCTGTCATATCCAGCAATAATTTTCGCATCCCAGTAGGAGCTTTCTCCATAAAAATTCCCTGGCGAAATTCTTGTAAAGCTTGGCCCATTCCTTTCTCTTGACGTACACCCACTCCTGCGGCTCTCTTAAGGTTCTTACCAACTTCCGCGAGCTTCAGGTGGCCCAAAGCGTCCGATAGGATTTGGGAAAATGATCGGGTTGTCAGTTTTTTCAGAGACAATAAGAAACTATTCTGTCTGATCTCAGGTAGAACTCTCAATGAATTTTGCCACAAATACAGTTCAAACCTGGCTTTTTCAGCTGCATTCGATTCAAAAAAATCTTCAAGAAATTCGTTTTCTCCTTGGTGTTCACGTCTAGAGATAGACACCCAGCTCAGATTTTTTTGCTGACATTAAACTTCCAATTTCAGGAGAAGTTTTCACTTTCAGCTCTTTGACCTTCTTCTCAGCCAGCTTAGAGACTTTCGCTAAGAAAGAGTGGTCCGCTCGCAACTGCATCTTTGCAGACAATTGTGGAACGTCTGCCCAATTCTTCCCTATTAGCATCAACACATCTTCAGTCACCAAGTTGGACCCATCTTCCCCCGTCAGGACTTCTGTAGCAGGAGCTCCACCCCATACGTTCAGGCCCTCCATCAAGTCGCCGAAGAGATCTAACCTTTCCCCAAAAGAGAAAGCTGCTTCCAAGCTCAGTTTTTGAGCTAAACCAATTCTGATTTTGTTGCCATCTGAGTCCACCAGGAAGTGGTTCTCAAAGTTAGACCGCTTTTCAGATACTGAGTTCAAGAGGACTAATAAGTTGGCCATGTGAGCCAAGAGATTGTGCGGCCTGTGGCCTTTTATTAAGGAAAAAGAGTCTTTCTTGTCAGTCACTCCCATTCCAGCGTCTCTCCTGGATGATTTCTCATGCGCCAGCTTGTCTTCCAAGTACTGGTGCACCAGCTTGCTGTACAAGTTCTGAGGGAGGTGTTTTTTGAAGAGAAGCTGTTCACCGTGGTCTTTTCAATGGTGGCTGGGTTTCTGGGTCAGGAGGGACAACCTCTTCCGTGCCAAAAACAGTAGCTGCCGAGAGATTGGGATCATCTGCCTCTGTTTCTTCCATGGCTTTCAGGATCTGCTTTTTGAGCCAAAAACGTCATCTCGGCCGAGAAACACTTAAATTTAGGACATTGGCCTTTAGTCTGAACAATAGAAAACTATTTGCCCCTCTCAAAGAGATCCGATTTTGCTCTCATGGCTCTCTTTTTATTTTACTCCTCCATCATTTGCAAGTCTCCTTGGGAGATTTGAGCCGCATCATAAGGGTTAGACCACTCTTCATGGTCTAAGTCCATGTCTTCATCTGTCGTTCTTAGCAGAATTTGGTCTTCTCTTGGAACCAAAGTGGAGGTTACTGGGAAAGCTCGCCATCTGGGAAAAGCTCCCATCTGCATCAATGCTACTATGGTGTTTCGAAAAGAATGGATGACGCTTCCTTTGTGCACAGCGAACTGAGACACTCCCACGAAAGCTCCTTGAAAAGATAGCCGAATTGAGTCTTCCAAATTTCCAGACACTGAGGCACGCCATTCAGTGTGAAACGGTCCTGGAACTTGCTTCCAACTAGAAGGTTGCAAGTTTCTAGTAGAGCGTTCTGCTAGATTGGATACTTTCCATTCGTCTTCCAGAGCTTTGACCAATAGCTGACGCCCAGGGTCTCTGTCTTTTAGTAGAGCCAGAAGCTCACCTTGCTTTAGGGTGGTGGACAAGTAGGATGGTAATCGCGCGGTGGAAGAAGACCCACTTGCGGTGCTGGGAGCTTCAAAACCCAGAGCCATGTCTCCAGAATCCAACTGGTCGAAGAGTTCAGAGTCACCTTTGAGGACCAAAATCTTGTAAGTTGAGGTATAGCCAGCATCTGTTTGTCCCACCTGGATGGATAAAAACTCTGGGGTCCATGACACATTTTTGAGGCCCCGTCTTGCGGCGTGTTGAGATTTGCGGATGCCAGCTGCTAGCAAATGTAGAAATTGCTCGCTCCTCAAACTGTGCCAGTCACTATACTGAGTGAAAAGGTCGCCCAAGATCAAAGAAGTCCAAGCAAGCGGAGAATCTCCAATCCCTATCACTGCCAACTCATCTGATATAGACAGTCCAAACATTTTGCTTTGTCTTGACAAAAATAGACGGCTAATTTCCTCCAGGAATGGCTGGTAGAAGTGGGCGAAGTTCCTGTTGGCCAGGTACCCCCATTTCCATCTCTCTTTGACGCTAAGAAGCGCTTTCAGCTCTTTAACTGAAAAATGAGTTTGTGCCCAAGCCAAAACCACTGATTGGTACGAGTTGGAAACCAGGGCTTCAAACATGCAATAATCGAGCTCTGTCCATAAGTTCGGATCTATGTTTGGAACTCTATGCCCTTCAGCTAGCCTGTTGATGACAGGCTTCAAAAGAGGTGACGTGCATCTTCTTTTCAGAACCTTCAAAATCTCTTTTTCTCGGTAAAGAGATGGGGTTGCTCCTCGCGACAGAGGAGTCCGCCCGGAATGAAAGAGAGACCTGGGTGCTTCGATTAGATTGCTTCTGTCGTATGGCGCAGACAGCACCATTTCCGCCAAGACCACAAACCAATGTAAACATTGTGGGTACATCTTTTGGTAAGCCGCTGCCACCAAAGACCCCCA